CTTGTCGTATCATGTTAATGATGCAGACAGAGCTATGAGCATAATGAGAGAGTCCATGTAAGACAGAGAGGGAGGAAAACAGGGTATAAAGTAAGAGAAAGAGTGGTAGAGATACAATATACAAGAGAGATCTTGAGAGAGAGTGAGAGCCTGTATTCAGATACAAGTGGTTCCACCTGGCAGAGCTCTGGACCTCCCAATTATAACCTCCTTCATGCTGTTTGTTACACAACGAGGACGAGAGGAGAAGAGGAGGACATGATGTGGAGAGGTGGAGGAAGAAACCACACAGAGAGGAAACAGCACACTGAGGTATACTGATCCTGTTTACAGTAAATCACACACCATGGCCAAAGTCTATTAGCCTTTACACTGAGATTAATGGCCTACACCGAAGGCTTTTGCCGTAACAACCCCCATACTGTGCCCTTATGTGCAATCTATGATATGAGACAGATATTTTAAACCAATATCTCAAGAAAAAAAACAGAATCTATTCCAGTCAGTGTCTGACAGGACTCAACGTTTACAGGAAAACAGATCAGGGCTGCAGCCCCGGAATCTAACATCCTAATATTAGTCCGGATCTCTAAATCTTATTTGTTCAGTGATGCAAATAGGTAATGCGTTATGGTGTCAATGATGGCTGTGGGTGACGATGGAGCAGTGGATAAGACACATGCCTTTGGTATGGGAGACACCACATGAGCAAGACACTTAACCCCTACTTACTCCAGAGGCGTGGCCCTTTGACATATATAGCACTTGTATGTTGCTTTAGATAAATGCGTCAGCTGAATGAGTAAATGTTTCCATGGTTGCAGAAACAGAGCATTGTAGGTTGGATAAATACCTTAATAGGTAGTTACTTAACACAGCTACATCCATGAAGGAAAGTAACAGAAAAATGGCTACAAACAGACAAAAGCTAGAGATAAGACTGATAAACAGGTTGTTATAAGTCAACTTACAGAAATAACAACTTAACTTTTGGGTGACAATGGCGCAGTGGATTACACACATGCCTTTGGTGTTTGATGTAAAAAGGACATTTGTAATTTCAAGGGAAGGTAAGTGCTGCAACTATTTCTTGATGAATAGTTTATCAACCCCCACAGCTCTTCATAACATCATGTGTACAGATTAAAGAAATGCGAAATAACTTTGGAGCCCGCTCGCTCTTTCCCTCTGTTTTCAGTTTTTATGCTAAGCGAGGCTAACCCATCTCCTGACTCCCTCTGCTCATTTAAAAAGGTACCCAATGGTGTTTTTGACCTCTAGAAGTGCTATGAAGGAGTTTTGTTTGTCTCATGCACACAGGTGACATGATGACACCTTCCTGCAAATGGTTTCACTCTATTCCACTGATCAACCGGTGGTGGTAATGTGCCAAGAAACAAAGAAATGCACCAACAAAGGTAGGAAAGAAGAAGAAGACTACAGGCTTTTCAACAAAATCCACTTTGCAAATGTTTTGTTTAAAGAAAGGAAATGCATTCAACGTGTTTGTTAGAGTTCAATACACACAATGAGTTCTGGTAACACAAAATGTAAACCTAAAACTCCAGAAGGCACATATCAATTGACATATTTCTTCTATCATGAAAAACATTAAAATAACTGCCCTATTAAGCCAAGTCAAGCTAAGCCTTTGACTAGAAATGACAGCAGGATGGATACATCACAAGCTACTAATTGTTTGGGGAAAAACAAAATAGGATAATAAAACAAACAAAACAGAAATATGTTTGTTTTGGGGCATCTGCTGCTTTCCACAGATATATCAATATCTTCTTCGGCTTGAAAAAGCAAATACATTTAGTCCATTTAGTTGGGGGTCTGTACCTATGTACATGTTTTCTTACTTTTGGAGAACAAAATTTGTAGGTCAGGGCATCATTTTTTAATTGCAGCTTCTGCAATTTAGATATTGCACTTGGCCATATTGTGATTTCACACTTATTTCAATTTATTATGCATTATCATTACTCACTGCTAATAGGGGTAGGTCTGATAACAACCTAGTTTTTTGTGCATAAGGAGACTTCTTTCGCAATTTTTGAAGTTGCTCTTTTGCTGCTGTGTGATCAGATTTGAATTTTATTCAAAAATTAAAGGAAAGGCTTATAACATGTTTGTAAGGGCTTAAGTATACAGAGAATGTGTTACAATAAACAGCACAGTTTACCCCTAAGTGTCTCTAATTTAATGTTCTTCTGCATATGAGGGAGAAAAAGCTCAGCCCAGTACAGATACCGAGTAAATAAATGTTTCAGACTGACAGATACTGAGCGTGACAGACAAAGTACCCCTCTGCCCAGCACAGCCCATACCAAACCTAAGCAGCCCTGCTCAGTCCGGTCCAGCCAAGTCCACATGACGAATGGCTCTCTTGATGGAGGCTGACAGGCTCAGTAATTAAGGCCCTCTATAATTGGACTGGGCTGAATCAAACAACTGGCACAGCTCTGGTGGCTGACTGGTACTCTGGAGGGATGTT